AGCAGAAACCATGCAGGCAAGAAGGTAATGGAATGACATATACTAATCTGAAAGAATCCCAACCAAGGATCATATACCCAGGAAAGCTGTCGCTCAAATATGATGGCGAAATTACAACATTTCCTGATAAACATAAATTAAAGGAATTTGTAATGACCAGACCAACATTACCAAAAATGCTAAATGCTGTTCTCTGGACTGAGAACCAACAACAGCAGACAACAACCTAAGATTACCATGCATGACACCACCACTTAGAACTCAATCCAAATATAGAAGTTATTTAGAGTAAACAAACCTACAAGACTGAAAACAGGGAACCAGAGACATCAACATATAACAAATTCAAATATAAAGCAAAAGGAAGGAATAGTGAAGATACAGAACTTCCGAATGGCAAGGAAATCAAGTAGATTTCAAGATAAAACAGACTGTTTTAAGCAGGGAAAAATAAATTACAAAGTAACCTCAAATAAAAATACACCTGCACATCAAAATTAAAAAGAAAACTCTGAAAGATTTAGTATACACTGACACAACTGAAATAAAGATGACAAGAAAATATGCCAACACAAAATTAATTCAGCATATAAAAGTATAAGGAACAAAGAAGCCAGCAGCACCATACCAAAGGGGCGGGGGGAGCACACAGAAAAGTCACATCAATCCATACCTATTTATAATTACACTGAATGATGTAAGTGAATTAAATGTACCAGTCAAGAGACATAAAGAGCAGAATAGGTAAGAAAACTGAATCTTTCAATATGCTATAAGAGATCTCAAAGAGATGGAGACAGCCTAAATGCCCATCAACAGAATGGTTAAACTTTAATACATGCACACAATGGACTAATACAAAACACTGAGGAATAATGTTAAATTTGTGAAACACCTCACAAGAACACAGCTGAACCCAGCAGTATGCTGAATGAAATTAGTCAATCACAAAAGGGCAAACACTGTATGAGACCAACATTATAAAATGTTTTTAAAAGGTTTTCTTGATAAAAGAAACAATGTACAATGGTTACAATGGTGGGGGGAGGAAAGTAGGGGGTGTCAGTACGGAAGGAAAATTTATTTATGGACTAGAGGATAGACACATGTCAACACAGATGATGAAAGGGCAGGCGATATATAAGAGGAAAGATGAAGGTATTGGGAGACACAGGGAAGACTGCAACAGTTAAAATGAATAGAGTCAAATGCTGTTAACTGATGGTACATGGAGGGGCTTGAAACCATTGTAATGAAACAAAACAATTTGTTGAATGTTAAAACTGATGATCTGCTCTGTAACCCTTCACTCAATTCACAATCAAAAGTTTTAAAAAAGATAATGGAGTTTTTCTACAAAACTTTTTGAAACTCCCCCTCCCAATATATTCAATGTTATTTAACAGTAAATACTTCACAATCAAAGGGTAGCACTAGTTTCTGAATCTGAAGTCCTAATATTCCCTTTAGGCTTTGTCCTGATTAGTGGTTCCAGAATTAGAGGAGATGGCTGCAGGGATCAATAGCAACATATTTTGTTTCGCCAAGCATGAGGGAAACTAAGGTTTGAGAAGAGTTCTACCTCATTCCACAGCCCATCATGTTCCTACTATACATGGTGACTTACATGCAGCTCAGCCTAGATTCATAATTTATAAAGAATTCATTCTCCAATTCATAAAGAATCTCCTTTTGTGAATGTATTTGATGTAATCTTTCATTAGTAACTACAGTCATCGCTTTCAAGATTAATCTCAAAATTCAGTTTGCATAATGAACAAAAAAAGAGAAAGTAATCTTTGCAAATAGTTTGGAACCATTTACCATTCCAAAAAGTTTTCCACCTCTTACATACATTTTAACAAGTACAATAAAAAATATCAATGAATACATGTACATATTAACATTAAATCAATCTCTCTCTTCATTACCCAGTAAATAACCTTGACATCAAAACACCTGTCCTAAAATTTATACAATTCCTACTGCATACGAGGTCATAACCTGAGTACCATGCAAGAATACTAAAAGATTAGAATACATATTCCTTGCCTCTAGGAGCTTGTAGTTTTAGTATCAGAGGCAAGACAAACACAAAAGGACAATGAAGAACAAAGGGGACATACAAATGTGCAAATTATCTAACATAATGCAAACTGAACTCTAACTGCTAAGGAAATAAAGAATTTATATGGGTCTTGTGCAGTCCCTGGAAGAAGTGTATACAGACCATTGCTTAGGTCGTCAATAAATGATTGTGAAGATAAGAACCAGCAGACATAAGACATGCTTGGATAATCAACATAGACTTGTTCTTAGGTAGATTTTAAAACGCAATCAAAATTCCAACCTATTACAAAAGACAGAGTTTATGAAGGAATATTAGTAACTAATATAGTAAATTAAAGAGGTTATAAATTTTCTTTTAAGTCTTAATAATGTGGATATCAAGACTCCTTTTTCTTGTTCATCATTATCTCTAACATTACCCTTTGCTCAATTTTTCTGGGGCACAGTTGGGAGTGACTACCCTGAGACAAAAGCTAGTATATCTTGAATACTGCCAAGCTCTAAAACGTGTACAAAGCTTCATCAACAAAAGCAAGGCCGGAAGCAGAGGCAAAATGATAAAAGGGGAAGTTTATACAACAATGCTCATTAATAAAGGACGGAAAGTATATTTTCTAGAAACCAGACATCATGACTGCAGGCACCTGTCTCTCTCCATATAAATGAGCTTTTGGTAAGTAAAACACACAGACCCTGTCATGGCTGGTATTACCTCCAGTGATTTGTTCTGGAGGCCATGTTCCTATTGTTTCCAATTAAACACAAGGAGTCCACTCACCTCAGACACTTTGGTTGTTATGCTGTGTACTTTTTAACCCACTACACAACACAGTAATAACCCAAGTCAATGCAGACTACATCTCTTGCACATCAGGGCCCCTCAGTCACTCACAAAATCCCTAGGCTATTCAGAGAGAATCTTCACTCAATTTCTTGTCTCTCTTGTTTTAATCCATTCAAGATTCCTCTGATAAAAGAGCAACTGCCAGACCTAAGATACTTTAGTCCCTCTTTGGGGAAATGAAATTGATTTTCATCATTTTCACACAAAAGGATACCTGGGTGACAATACTGCATCTGGTTATATCTATAATTAAAAAAAAAAAAAAAATTAGGCAACATTATTTACTGTACCAGAGGCAGAAAGGTGGGGTTCCTTTGGTGGAAATAGGATTTCACCCTTATATGGTAAATCATTAATGAAACAGATAAGGGGGACTTCTGACCAACTGCTCCATAGTGGGAAGTCAGCAGGGGTTCTGAGTGAGGCTAGTGAGCTCTCCTTGACACATACCTGGCATAGCCTCTCTCTCTTCCTGTCATACCTGACTACATGAGCCAGTTACTTCCTTGATTTCTTGGTTTACAGTAAAGACTATCTGAGGGCAATCTCCATATCAGAGACACCCCGTGAGCTGCTGCTCTGTGAGGAGGAGAGTGAATGAAGCCAAGTCAGAGAAGTCATGTACAGTTGGCAGGTAAAGCAGTGCAAGAATCATGGGATGGACAGGAGCTGTGTGCCTCCAGGTTTCAAAGATACAAAACACAAACAAAAAGGCAAAAGTCATCATTCAGGGAGAAAACAAAGACAAAAGAGTTTCAGGAGTCTTTAACTACTTTTCCCAACTTCCAAATTCACAATTCTTATGGAAAATGCAGAATTTCAAGAAGGAGATGTTAAAAAGACTATGAAATTACAAGAGTAGCTTTTTAACACCTTGTAAAAACAATCTTGTTTTTGGTAGTGCCGATGAGTCGATTATAACCCATAGTGATTCTGTACTGAGTTTCTGAGGACCAAGACTGGTGAGCTTGAACCACAAACCTTATAGTTCAAACAAACATTGCAGTCCGGCGCATTAACTCACAGGGCCACAACAGGATAATCTTACATGAGGCTATAATCCATAACAATAAAAGTTAAAATGCTTTGCCTCCCTTACTCCAAGCCCCATCAGCTCTGCCTCCTTTACTCCAAGCCCCGCCCCAGTTGAAACACCTGCTCTGTCAAACTCACTTGATAACCACAGTCCTAGGGAAAGAACACCAATATCCACTATATGCACCCTGGCATCCAAAATCTTCCCCTGATTCTAGGGATGTCTTCCCGAATAAAAATGAAACAGATAGGGGGCACTTCTGACTAACTGCATATAATGATATTTTTTCTATGCATATAATGATATTTTAAAAGCATATCCACTGAAGTACACCCTGTTCCTTCTTACTAACTTATCTACTACATAAATGCTGGTAATGTGTCACTAAATGTCCACAAAATGTTCTGTGAAATAAGCTGGTAGGTAATTTGGGTGTTTTGCGAACACCAAACTATACATAGCATATATTCAGTACACATACATAAAAATAACCTGCACACAAGATGCTGTGGCTCTCCATTAGTGCCCAGAGCCTTGGAATTGCAAACTTGCCTGACCTGTAATTGGCTGTCTCTGGTGGCATTGTCCCAGCAGCCCAGGGACTCTGAGGAGCCTATCCAAAATAGGAAATCCAGACAGAGTGCAGTAGCTGCAGCCCAGTGTCTCCCTGCAGACACTGACTTATGGGGTGGATGGGAAAGGCATGCACCCGCAGCAGCTGCTGCAGTGCCCCTGCAACCTGTACCAAGCAAGGCCCTCCTCTCTACCCCATGGACACATATGAGGTTAGCCACTGTCCGAACGGAAGTTATAAAACACATATTTGTACAGTATAAAACATTTTGAAATATAGCTAAATATTAAGATCCCTAATTTCCCGAATCTTCCCAGTTTTTCAGTTGGCAAGTGTTTGGTAGCTGAAACTCTTAAAAAAAAAAAAACAAAAAAAAAAAAACTCTCCTCCATCATGTAGGAAAATACAGTCTGTTTCTCAAAGTCCAAATCACTTTATATCAAAATCAAAATCATTTCTCATCTATGAGAACTAACCTGCAGACACGGGCTGGAAAATACAACTTCTGCCAAGAACGACACAAATACTGTGAATGATCAATCACTCTGATCCAATCAAGTTCATCCATGGACACTTCAATGAAGTATGAATAAGACCTTTAAACGAAATAAAAAAGTGCATTAAAAAATGCCATATTAAAACAATACAAAGTTGCATTTTAATGAAACAAAAAAAGGTACAAAACAATGATCTACAGGAAAGAGCTGCCCCATTAGGGTTCCAAGGCAATCATCTTGACAGAAGCAGAACGTCCCCTCTTCCTCCAGCAGAGCAGCTGGTGGGATCCAACTCAGCCTTTAGGTTAGCCATCAAGCATTTAACCACTGTGTCATCAGTGCTCCCTGCAAACGTTACAGAATTCACTAATTGCATTTTCTGTAACAATCAAGTTCTGCTAACAATGAAAGCTGTCTATACATCACTGCTGTAAAATTCACCAGAACGTACTGAAAATATTTCCAGAGCATCTCCTCACTAAATCATAAGCTGCTTCAGAACAAGAATAATGTCATACTTCTCTTCATACCCCCAGGGTCTAGCACGGACTTTGGCACAATCATTTGTTCCTGTGGGCCAAGATGCTTCTCCCATACCACACTGGCAGATTAATACAGTATGTGAGAGTGAGGACAGAAAACAGAGCAGGCAATGAACCTTCTCTCCCTACCATCCCTGGTACCATCCCTGGTCTGGGTGCTCAGTCCTACCCACTGAGGGGGGAAAGTCATAACTAGGAATGGGTCCCCATTCTGAGTTTTTTATCTCCTGTGTGTTCTTGGTCTCCTAACATCCCACAAATGCATGCAGCCTGTAGGAAAATAAATGGCATGGGTGAAGAGATAAGTGTTTCTTCCAGGTACAACTTAAAATTTGCCAGCTAATAATCTGGCAATAATGAAAATAGCCTATCATCCTCCCCTAGTCAGCTACCCTGGAAAATTACATGCTGGTCCCATACTGAACAAATCTATATTCTCCTGTCATAACCCAAATTTAAATTTGAGATGCAGTTATTACTTCTACTGTAATATCAACAGGAACAATCTCAGAAGATTTAGGTGACCATAAATGTCAGCCTGCAACCAACAGTTTTGACCAGAAAAGGTCAGCTTATTTTGTGTCATCCTCTCATTTTCTGCTGTCCCCTTACTCCCATTCATTTTGTCCCTCAGTCTCAAACTGGTTATATAACCTTTTATTGAACCTTTCTGGGCTATCAGTAATGCAGGATATAATTTTAAAACACAAGTCAGAATCTTTTTGGGATAAGATTCTGAATTTTTCACCTTTGCTTACAATGATAACAACTTCTGTGAGAAAAGAACAGTTACATGGCAAAGTTAAGTCCCCAATGAATGTAAAGCACATACTAAAGCAAAGTAGCCTATAAATACTTAACTACTTTCAATTTCAAACATAATACTCATTTCTTTTATTATTTTTAATAATCTAATTGTTAATTAAATGAGGGAATATATGCAAAGTTTTTAGAACTGTGAGAAAGCATTTAATGTAATAAAAAGCACCATGTCAACATTATTATCACACTGTTATATTAATCGGAGACTATTTGAAATGACATATGTGAGTAAGCCTGATTTCGACATTTAGACATCATATTATATGTAACAGATAATCAGAAAGAACACAGGGCGAGATCACCTGGGGACCTCACACACCTCTGCACATGGGAAATACTAACTCCCATTTCATAAAGCTTTTCTCAGATCTTGGCTCAAACGGCCTGAAAGGTCAAAACAGCAACCAGAGGTGCTAACAAGAGAAGGCACTTTTCTACAAGATTTGCAAAATATCATCATTGTGATCATTAAGCCCTTGACACCCAGACTGAGTGAGGTAGGAGCAGGACCTAGGAGGCTCTGTACACCAGTTTTTGGGTATGCAGAGTTTAGGCTAATGATCAGCAGCAATGAGAGAATTCTTGGATGCACATACTATCCCCATACTTACGGCATCATCACTGAATCCTACAAGTAGTAGTGAGGGACGGATCAAAGTGGGTGGTAGGAGGGCAGAACCCAAAAAATCAGTGTAAGTTGGCTAGATTTTTAGGCTGGAGACTCCCAAGTTTGTCCATAAATTTATTTTATTTTGAAAATAATATTAAATTCATATGCTAGAAGACATTTTTTAGAATAAAAAGCATTCAAACACTTAACTATAATAATCAAAATGAAGGAATCAAGTAACTAGATAGTGGTAATCCATATGTTAAAATACCAGACAACTACTGGGGAAAAAAAGGTAAAATGTTCATAATATATTAATTGGAAAGTGAAGTTACCTCTTGGTACATTTAATCTCTTTTATAAAAATACCTGTGTAGCAGCAGGAAACTCCAGACCCAGAGAGAGCAAGGGGCTGTGTGCTGACAACCAGGGAGCAGGCTTGCTGGGTATACCCTTTGGTTGGTTGATGATGCATGGAGGGGGGAATTGTAACCATGGCAATTAAATGATATGTAAGATGAATTTTACATAAAGCTAATGTAAACTCCCATGTAAAGTATAATTCACAAAACATTAAAAAAAACAACAACCTGTGTGTGGTTTTCGGGTGTGTGTTTGTGTATTTATGCAAATAAAAAGGCTGGTTAGACATTTACCCAAAAAAAAAAAATTTATATGTGTGTGTGTGTGTGTGCATATACAAATGGATAGTGAGATAAGATACTAGCAGTTTTTTTTTTCTTATTTGTGCTCAATGTATATTTTCCACGTGGTCATGGTACGGTGCTGTGAGATTAAGCACTAGACCATAATGTCGATCTGAACCACAAGATCAGCGGTTCAAACTCACCAACTGCTCCTTGGAAACCCTATACAGGGTCACTATGAGTTGAAACCGACTCAACAACATTTTCCACATTTTCTAAATTAAAAAACAAAAAATGCTATTCCCCCCCACACCCAAAGGAGTCTGTCCTTGAATTCTTCCCCCAAAACTAAAACTTCACGAGATATAGTAAAGCAATCACAAAAATATAAACCAACAAAATCTGTAAAATCAAAGTGGAAGACCACACTAGACAATTTGAATCAAACACAATGTCAGTTTCTAAGCCACGCTAATGACTCACCGGCTATCACGATCCCACAGGAGAATCCGTATGTGGTTGATAATGGAAGGCTGACCTAACTTAATCTCGATGCCAGAACGGCAGTCATCATCAATTGGGTGCCTAGAAAATCCATGATCCAAATCATAATTTTGAGTATCGCCATCTAATAAGGCAGACTTCAGCTCCCCTTTTACTACCTGGGCTCCATATTTCATGGTTGCAATGTTTTCTTCCGGTACTACAATTAAAGACAGAAAGCTTAAGGTTAACAGTTACTTACAAAATGATTCTGTTATGTTTTTGGGGAAAATAACAACAAACAAAACAACCTCAAGCATTCTAGTTCAGTCTAGTATATCTGCATTTAATCTAAAAACAGCAGAGACGTGTCTACAGCAATAGAGGATATGAAATGTCTATGAGGATTCAGATAACATCCAGTCTAAATTTAATATTACTGTCACAGCCACATAGTAGCCAGACTATTGTTACTTAAAAAAAAAAAAAAAAACTATAATCCTAGAGAAAATGTTTCCTAAGACAAACGAATCAGCTCTACTGAGTTCATATCATATCATAGTATCCAGTGGACATGTAAGATAACCTGTAACTGCCATCTGAATATAGAACAAGGTATAAATGCAAAGCAGAAAGGTCTGACATCTCATAAAACAGAAAAAGATGTTTTATCATCATAATACAGCATAGCCATTAGTCATCTATGCTGTTGTTACCGAGTGCCTTCAGTCCATTCTAACTCAGAGACCCTGTATAAGGTTTCTGAGGAGTGGCTCCTAAGATGAACCACCAACCTTGCAGTTCAAACCCACCTTGCAGCAATCAGTTTAGCTAAAAAACAAGAATATGTCTAACATACATATTTTTTTTACCTAGAATGAACTAGAATACCTGGATACTTTTTAAAGATGAAAATTCAGTCGATCATCAAAACCACTATTTTGGTTATTAGTAAATCCCTTCTCCTTGCCAACATTAAACACATCGATTAAGCATCAATTTTTCCTGGAAGTCTGAAGCCCCTCATGAAATAGAAGTTAGCTTTGTGATATGGTATTTGTCCTCTAGGTACTAACATTCTAAAACTGACATTCTCCTTGAGGACACTGGAGTCAGCATAGGGTGAGCAGTGAGAACTTTCACTTCAGCATCAGAGCTTAAATGGGGCTCCAACTCTGACTAGCTGTATCACTTCAGAAAGTTACCCTTTCTGAGACTCAATTTCCTCAATAGGGTAATAATCTTCTCTCAGATGTTTTGGGCTTTTTTTTTTTTTTTTTTTTTACTTTTGTGTTGTTTTTGAATTTTTTTCCCCCCAAAGATTAATTTACATAGTAAGTTCTAAAAACAGAGAGCCATTATTATTATGAGAGATATATAGCCAAGTATAGACTAAGAAAAGTAAGAAAGCTTACAAACCATAAATATTGAATTCTCGTGATACATATCTTGGTTATGTGATTTGAATATGAGAAAGTGTTAGCCATAATCAAGTTAAGGGGAAGGGTGGTAAATAACTCATCATCACAGATTTTTTAGAAAATATGGGTGTTTAAAGAAGCTTTTAAATGAAAACAGGAAACGAAAGCAGCTTTGGAAGAGGAAACAATGGAGGCAATCTATGAAAAAAATGGGAGTTGGAGAGTAGCAAAAAGACTGAGGCAATGCATCAAAAACAAAGAAACCCTGGCTATGTTCAGTTTCTAACCCCCAGAAAACTAGAAGCTAGAGAGCTGTAACACCCTACATTCTACTAGTGGGGAAAATAATCCATTCACATATTTATATTTAATTTATGTAGTTAGCCTTATATTACGCATGGAGTCCTGGTGTGGCACTATGGGTTAATGCACTGGACTGCAAAGTCAGTTTGAACCACAAGGTCAGTGGTTCAAGCTCACCAGCTGTTCCTAGAAAACCCTATCCAGGGCCAGAACCAACTCGACAGCACTTAACAACAGTAACAATACAATGCATATTATGTGCCACACATTGTTCTAAGCACTTTACAAATATTAACCCCTCTGATTTACTCCTCATAGCAATCTTTTGAGGTAAGCACTATCATTATCCATTTCATAGATGGGGGGGGGGGGGAAGTAGAGGGGAAGGAGATAGATTTACATGCCCAAAGTCACACAGCCAGCAAGTAAACAGCTGAGATTAGAACCCAGGCAGTCTGTTTGCTGGAGTGAACACAACACGATGCCATCTTCCTAAGCACAGGTTTCTGATGGGCTGACCATCCTTTTCCCAACTCCCCTTCTCAAAGTTTGCCTAAGATACAGTAGGAAAAAATTGGGGAAAACGAATGTTTGACTTAAAAAGCTTGAATTTGGAGACCAGGCTCTTCCAGTTTACTTCTTCTAGGTGTGGCCACTTAGTCTCTCTGAACCCGTTTGCTCAGCCTAAAATAAAAAAGACCTTGCCAACCCACCTCACAGAGTTATTATAAAAGTTATGCTACAAATGACACATGCTCAAGTACTATGCTGTCCACTTGTCTCTCAGCTGGTCATACTGTGGTGGCTGTGATACTGGAAGCTATGCCACCAGTATTTTCAATATCAGCAAGGACACCCACAGTAGACAGGTTTCAGTGGAGCTTCCAGACAAAGCAGACTAGGAATAAAAAGAGGCAGATGGCTTCTGAATGGTTAGTCAGTGAAAACTTTTAAACAGCAGTGAAACATTGATATGTATGAGTCCTAAGTGGAGTCCCTCAGGTTGGAAGGCACTGAAAACACGACTGGGGACGAGCTGCCTGTTCAAAATAGATTGACCTTAATGACGTGGATGGACTAAAGCTGTCAGGACTTTCATTTACTGATGTGGCACAATTCAAATGAGAAAAAACAGCTACAAATATCCATTAATAATCAGAACATGAAATGCATGAAGAATGAATCCAGGAGAATTGGAAGTTTTCAAAAATGAAATGGAACACATGAAAATCGATATCCTAGGCATTAGTAAGCTGAAATGCACTGCTATTGGCCATTTTAATCAGAAAATTTTATGGTTTACCTATGCTGCGGCTGACAAACTAAAGAGGAATGGCATTACATTCATTGTCAAAAAGAACACTTCTTCAAGATCCATCTTGAAGTACAATGCAGTCTGTGTTAGGATAGTATCTATTATTGACTCCTCGGCAAACTACCACCAAGACAAGGAAGAAAAGTTAAAACCACTATTATTCAAATTTACACATCAACCACTAAGCCAGTAATAAATAATGAAACTGAAGAATTCTACCAAGTTCTTCAGTCTGAAATTGATCCAACATGCAAGCATGTTGCACTGATAATAACTGGTGACTGAAATGTGAAAATCAGAAATAAAGAGAAAGTATTAGTAGTTGAAAAATATGGCCTTGGTGATAGAAACCATGCTGGAGATTGTATGACAGAGTTGTTAAAGACCAATGACTTATTAATCGAAAATATCTCTATAAAACAAGGAGCTCTGGTAGCACAGTGGTTTACGAATCGGGCTGCTAATCTCACGGTCAGCAAATTCAAAACTTACCAGCTGTTCTGTGGGAGAAAGATGAGACTTCCTGCTCCCATAAAGATTTACAGCCTCGGAAACCCTGTACAGGGTTGCTATGAATCGGAACCAACTCCAAGGCATAAAACAGCAACATATATACGTGGACCTCACCAGACAGGTATCAAAAAATAAAAGTGACTTCATCTGTAGGAAGCAACAATGGAGAGGCTCAACAACATCAGCCAAAAGAAGGCCAAGAGTCAACTGTGGAACAGCCCACCAATTGTTTACATGTACTTTCAGACTGACGCTGAAGAAAAGTAAAGTAAGTCCATGACAGTCAAAATATGACCTTGAGAAGATCCCTCCTGAATTTAGAGACCATGTCAAAAAAAGATTTTGGTGCACTGGACACTAATGACAAAAGACCAGAAGATGTGTGGGATGACATTAAGAATATCATACAGGAAGAAAGCAAAAGGTCATTTGAAAGACAGGAAAGAAAGTGAATGGAAGATGAAGTCAAAGAGCTGAACAGAAGATTTCAAAAAGCAACTCAAGAAGATTAAATCAAGCATTATAACAAAATATGCAAAGACCTGGAATTAGAAAACCAAAATGTCAGAATATGCTCACATTTCTCAAGCTGAACGAACTGAAGAAAAATCCAGCCTCGGCTTGTAATAATGAAGGATTCTTTGGACAAAATACTGAATGATACAGGAAGCATCAAAAGAAGATAGAAGAAAAAACCAAACAAAAAAGAAGATGGAAGGAATACACAGAGGCACCTTACCAAATGGTTGATGTTCAAAACCATTTTAAGAGGTAGCACATGATGAAGAACCAATGATACTGAAGGGAAGAAGTCCAGGGAGTATTGAAAGCATTGGCAAAGAACAAGGCACTGGGAATTGATGGAATACAAATTGAAATCTTTCAACAAACTGATGCAGCGCTGCAGGCCCTAACTCATCTAAGCCAGGAGATTCATAAGACAGCTAGCTACCTGGCCAACTGATTCAAAGAGATACATTATTTGTGCCACAGCAGAGAAAGTTGGGCCAACAATATCTTTAGTATCATATGCAAATAAAATTTTGCTAAATTAAAAACTGGTTGCAATCGTACATCAACAGGGAACTGCCAGAAATTCAAGTCAGATTCAGAAAAGAATGTGCAATGAGGAATTTTCATTGTTGACATTAGCTGTATCTTGGTTGAAAGCAGAGAGTGCCAGAAATATATTTACTTTATTGATCTAAAGACACTATGGATAACACTGTAAAGAATGGGTACTCCAGCATACTTGTGTTCTTGAGGACCTGTACATAGACCAAGAGGCAGACGTCAGAACAGAACAAAGGGATACTGAATGGTTTAAAATGAGAAAAAGTGTGAATCAGTGTTGTATCTTTTCACTAAACTTATTCCATCTGTATGCTGAGCAAATAGTCTAAGAAGTTGGATTATATGAAGTAGAATGTGGCATCAAGTTTGGGGGAGAACTCATGTACAACCTGCAATATGCAGATTACACAACATTGCTCGCTAAAAGTAAAGTGTGAAAGGATCAGAGCCTATAGCCTTCAGTATGGAATATATCTCCATGTAAAGAAAACAAAATCCTCATTAACTGAACCAATAAATATCATGTTAAATGATTTATTGTTTTATTTTTATAAATTACAGATTTACATTGTCATAAGATTTCATTTCACTTTA